ATTTTTTGTTTTTTTTTGGGGGGGAAATACTGACTTTTTGCCATGTAAGCTGACGACCCCCGCTGCAGCCAGTTACCCTCTACCTACCTGCCCCGCCCCCTCCCCCTTGATATTGGAGCACATGCCAAGCGACAAAGCCGAAAAATTCCATAGCCATGGTCGAAAAAATTCAATTTGATTGCTTTGTTCGCTTGTCTATTGGCCATTTAAGCAGCCAATGCGCTGTAGAATCGGATGGGGAACGGGGGTGGGGAAGGGGGGGGGGGGGGGTCATGCATTTGGCGTTAGCTGCAGCTTAACAAGTTCATTTTGGGCTGGCGCCTGTGGCTATGCAATGAATCCGACGCATAAATCAAATGCACTCAAAGGGAATGCGAGTCGAACAATTTAAACAAGCCCAAAAATACAAAAAAAAAAAGGGGCTTCCAAATTTTAAAAAATGTACAGAAAAATTGAATATAAAATGCAAGCACATATTCAAATAATGCCAACTTTTGACTGATAGTTGGAAATGTGCTGCATACCTTTGGGCGCAGCGCCACTTTGCAACTTGGCTAATGATGTTGCCGCTGCCCGTGGCAACACCAAGAATAACATTCCGATCCGCTGCACACATGAAGCCTTCATCCGTCGCCATTTGCTGCTAATTACATTTTGTGGTCGGCATAACAAATCCCTGAACCCAAATGCTGAGCTAAATAAACAGAGGAAAAAAAAGTCCCAGCTGGCAAGCAGGACTTGAAGTTACCTTGTATAATATAAAGAAAAAACATTTGCTTGATATGACATCATTTTATAGAAATTTAAAAATACTGAGCGAATGCTACAAAATGTATTTAGATGGGCTGAAGTCAATAAAAGCTGTTGCAAACTATTTGTAGAAGACTTTCGAGACCTTTCAACTTAACTAGGGCAATGATAAGATAGAGGAACTTACTAAACAAATTTTCCAACACTAGATTCTACAGTCGCCTAGCTCGGGAAGAGGAACTGAATCGAGTCGAGCTGAACTTCGGGTTCGACTGGAACCATTTATTTTTGTCAAAATTGATTTGCTTCGATGAAAGAAACTTTTGAGGGAGATTCAGCTAAAAAGTACAAATAATTCAAGACCTAGCCAATGCATTTATTTTGATATCTTTGATATATACAAAACAAAAACAAAACTGGGTTAACGGAATCTAAAGGCAGGCAGTTGGTTCGAAACTTGAACCGAACTGGCGACACTTTCTTTTGGGCTTGCAGCCCTGATATATTTAATATATTAATAGCTCAAGGAGACAAAATGCCCTTAGCATGCCCCATTTGGTGTCCACTTTACAGGGTATGAAACAAAACAGGAAATAACAACAAGAGGGCTGCACGCACATGTGACCAGGCAGTCAACTTCAGGTTTCAGATTCAGCTTCGAACTGTTTATGATTGATGAAGTTGGCAGCAGAGAGGGAGAGAGAGAGGGGGGGGGGGGGGAGGCAGAGAGTTAAGAGAGAAAAGCGTAAAAGGAAAAAGTAGAAAACGCGCACAGATGGAAGCGCCGGACAACAGGCAAAACAAGTAATTAAAATACCAGGCAGGCAAATGGACCAAAGCAAACGACGACGGTTGTTGTTGTTGTTGTTGCTGTTGTTGTTGATGTTGCTGTTGTTGTTGTTGTTGCAGCCACATGTGTTGCCACAAATGGGCAGCCATGGCCATGCTCATTGCCGCAGCCGCAGCCGCATTCGCAGCTCAAACATATTGATTGATTTTTAATTACAAACATTTACCAATGCAGTTTACACAGAGGGTCAAATCCAATCGACTCTGTGGGAGGAGAAGCGGAGAGTGGTGGATGGGGGGAGATTGGCCACTTGCAGCGGCTGCTTCAATTTCAATTTCAATTATGCAAATACTTTTTTATTAAACGCATAAACAAATGCATGGCAACGGCTGCAATGGAGAACGAGTTGCCCAACAGGAGTCGCCTAATGGGCGCCTGCTGCAGAGCTTTCGAGGGCTTAGAGGCGGGAGGCGGGAGGGGGAGGGTGGCTGTGCCTGGGGCAGTGGAGTGACGGGGCGTGTAATTGCCGGCGGCGACGCCGAAGCCGACGCCGACGCATGCAATTAGCGTTTCAATAGGCAAATAGAGAAGAGCCAGAAAGAGAGCTAGCGAGGAGAGTGTGAGAGAGAGAGAGAGAGAGAGACGGGCCGACTGAAGGTGCAGCAGTTGGCAAAAAGTGAAAAGTTTTTGCCCCATCCAAGCTACGCCCCCGCCCCCGCCCCCGCCCGCCAGACCAATATGCTGCAATCAATGCGGCATTGTTGCGACGCGTTCGACAATTGAAAATTGCCAAGCTGAAAAACGCTTTTCACTTTTCTTCTTTCTCGTTCTTTTTTTTGTTTTTTTTTTGTATCCGTAAGGACTGCAGGAGCTGGTCGTCGCGTGCCGTGCTCAATATTCAGTGCTCGGCAATTTCAAGTTTTACATTCACAATGCGTGCAAAACTCGGCGAAACGCAAAAACCAAACTTGGCGCTGGCAAAGTTCGTAATTGAAATTTCCGTTGCATGCTTTTAGGCGGCGCACTAAATTTAAGCCTCAAGTTGGCCCCTACATTACAGGGTATTTACGATGCGTTATGCTCTTTTATCCAATATTTACGACTGTGCTGTGCTTTGGTCCAGAAGCAAATTTGATTTGGCATTAAATTATAGAAAATGATATGCTTCAAACTATGACATTAAATGCGATTTAACTTGAATAAAAAATTATTTACTGATTAATAATAATAATTTTATACCCAGAACCCATTGAAAATGGGTAAAAAGGGTATAATGTATTTGTGCAAATGTATGTAACAGGCAGAAGGAAGCATCTCCGACCCCTTAAAGTATATACATTCATGATCAGCATCAACAGCCGAGTCGATCTAGCCATGTCCGTCTCTCTGTCCGTCTGTCTGTCCGTCCGTCCGTCCGTATGTATGTACGCAAGGATCTCAGAACCTATAACAGCTAGAGTTTGTTTCCGATATTCGATAAATTGCCCCGTTTCCAAGTAATCAATAAAAATCGATATCGAAATCCTATTTTTTGAGCAATTTCGGCAAATAATCTGAGCTAGAGTCACCAAACTTGACATGTAACTTCTAGAATAGTATATATATATCAAGTATTTTTCATTTCCTATCCCCTCTTCCTTGTTTAAATTTAATATGGGCTTCATAAGTGCAAGGCCATGTGTTTTAAATTGAAAAAGAGTTGTTTAATTTTCATAAAAAATAAATACGAATTTTTACGCTGCGTTTTTCATTACAAAAATCTGCGTTTGATTGGCGTTAATTGCTTTTCATTTATGTTAAGTAAATAATAAAATAATGAAAACAATATCAATTCAATTAGTTAAAGTGAATAATTAAACTATGATATTGTTAATAAATGGCCTTTAAAGAAATTTAAGTGAGAACAAAATATGTAATGGCTTAAGGTGTGCAGCCCTGCCTTATAAATATTATTTGCCAAAATGTTCTAGAAATCCTTCTTGAATTATTGAACACTACTCGTTATATTTGTAAAAATTGAATATGAACTCTAAAAACTGCTTCTTAATAGATTCGATAGATATTTTTACACGTCTGATATATATATATATATAACATTTGTATAGAAGAAGGCCTTCGTATATCGATACGATTTGGGTATTGATTTTCCTGCGAAAAAGTTTTGCGAACAAAACCAAATACTAAGTTTTTAAGGTATGACAAGAAAAAAAGCAAGAAACGTTTACAGGTAAAAACAAAGTTGGGGGAATACGAATTATAATTTTAAAAAAAATTCTCAATGCTGCATATATTCGCTATATGCTCAAGAATTATAATATAATTCTTTAATATTATTATATTATATATTATTACGATTTGGTTTTTCCTTTAGTGTGAGCCCTCGTCCCCCACATGCTAGAGGAGTGCCCGTGCCAAAGGAGATGTGCGCTCGTTTATATAAATGTTGGCATATAATTTTCAATTTGTGATGCATTTGCCACGCCCCTTTACGGGGCCGTGTCACTTGAGTGTAGTGCGCCGGCTTGGGGTAACAAATGGCCAGCAATTTAGCTGGCATTCGGGCGATTCGATGAAGCATTCATTGAAGCCATGTGCCTGTTATCCTGCCAGCCAGGCTGTCTGCTGTACACGTGATAATTGCTGGGCAGGACACAGCGACTTGGTCCTGGCAACTTATTGAATCTGTACAATTTGTTGGCCGTTTTCCCTATTCCCCTCCTCGTCCTCGTCCTCGTCGTCCTCGTCGTCGTCGTCGTTGTCGTCATTTCAATTGTCTATGCAAAGCGCCTTGAATCACAAAATGACCAGCACCCAGCGCCCAGTCCCTCGGGAAGGAAGGACTCCCACCTAGACGACGCTCTGCAAATCCCATTGGCTGGCTATTGTCTCTCGTCGCCTTTGTCATGTGGCCCCCACCATTTGGGGGCCCGCACCAGCGTTGTCTGCCTTTTGCTGGTGGCCAGGATAAATTTCAATGAATTTGCAAGCGCAGCAGCGGCGCGAGTCCTGGCCGAGTCCTGGCAACATTTCTTTGTTTATCTTTATACATTTACAATTAAAAGGGCTTCGCATTGTTGTCGCTGCCGTAATATTAATGAATCTGTGTGTATTTGTACAGGATACGCACCACCACGAATCCCGATTTCCCAATCCCACACACACTTTTGCCACGCCCACTCCCGTCAGTTATCCGTTAATTGATTGCAATTTGTATATGTAAATGCGCCTGTTTGTATGCAATGTGTTTTTTTTTTTTTTTTTTGTTAACTGCTTTTTGTCTTTGGTTTGCAAATTGTGTGCAAATTTTGTGGTCACATGTGTTTGCTGATTTATTCACCCGCTACCCGCTGCCCGCTGCCCGCCGTCCACAATTTGTTTATTTACATATTTTGCACACGCCGGCAATTGTCTCATTAAACGAAATCAATAAAATGCATAATTATCGTTCGATGGCACTCACCCCCTCCTCCTTGCCCTGGAGCAAATGTACGGCACCGGAACGCTGTATGCCGGGCAGAAACCACATGGGATGCGTTAGCAGCAATCTTTCCATCAATCCCAAATCACAGGGCGGCGAATTGTCGCTGGAATCACGGGAGCTCTCCTCGCTAGATGTTTCGCCCTCGGCCAAAATGCCGCCCTCCGAGCTGGAGACTAGAGATGTGCGTGACTGTAAAGAATGGAAATGACAGTAAGTGCAAGTTTTATCAAAAGGGGGTTTAACCTTAACTAATAGGGAAAACCATTTAACTTAACATGCGTATTTGACAGCTGGGCACACTCAATGATATATGTTTGTTAATGTGGAGCAGATCAAGGCATATTTGGGAAAAAAAAGAAAAAACAAGCATAGCTTTAGCTTTAAGCATAGCTGTCATATAAAACCAGGGCTGCAATCAGCTTGAAAAGGCAGCCACAAGTAGTACAGAGCTGTTATGCAAGCCCAGGGCTGCTTTAAGCAATGAAATATGTATATAAATACAAGCTAGTGTAGCTAAGTACCTTAACTTCAGCCCTGGGCTGTCATACAACGCCAGGGCTGCAATGAGCTGTAACCTACAGCTCTGTATATTTACACTTAAGAAAACTTAACAGAGCCATCCTTAGCTGCTTTTAAATCAAATTACAAGATATGTGCCTATAGTCTAGGCTGTCAAACAAAACCAGGGCTAATATTGCTTTAACTGTTAAAAAATCGTATGATAAAGTCAAAATGCACTATTGCAGCTATCTATAGGGCAACGCCAGGGCTACAGCAGCCACTTTTTAGCTAAAGCAGAGTTAACAAGAGGTTAGACAACAGCATAGAGTGCAAAGCCAGGGCTGCACGAGCTGTCTTTTTGTTAAAACCTTCCACATAGAGCTAACAAGGGGCTAGACAACAGCATACTCGACCCCATTTAGCTGCGTTTTCGAGCACTACTCAAGCTGGCTGGCACGCCAAATCCAGGGCCAGGACATTCGCTTGTTTTGTGAACGCTTTACATACGCAGTCTGCTTGACATATAGCTGATGGCCATATTCAGAGCTCCACTCTTGTAAGAGTACACAAGCACACACACTGACACGCACATACGCACACCGGCACTGTCAAATCTTGAGTGCAATCTCATGTCGTGCCATCAAAATTTGTTGGGGCACAACTTGGATAAAAGAGCCCGCGGGCGTCTGGCCAAGCAAAAGCATTCCGCCAAACAACCAACGCAGCATCCTGCGGCATTTTTACACAATTCTCCCAAAATGAAACCGAAAAATTTCTATAGCATTCGCGTAGGCGTTTTTAATTGAAAATTGCCGTGGGCGGTCTTTTGAAGTTGAGTTTTTATTCCGGGCAGCGCTCATGTCGAGGCCTCTTACATTGCCATAGCACACTTTTGTGCGCCCCGGTCGGAAAATGCAGCCCGAGCCGGAGTAGGGGAGATGGGCTAAGGGGCTTCGAGTGTGCACCCCCATTTCTCTCTCAGTGTGTGTGTGTGTGTGTGTCGAGCATTATGTTTGCCAAGTGTAAGCGATGCCAAATTGATGCCAAGGCAACAGGGCAGCAGCTTATGCAAATGCAAATTTTGAGTACACAGAAACAAGTTCATGCCCACAAAGCGAAGAGTCCATGTATATCTCTTACATGGTTTGGGCGCAAAGCAGCAGCTAACTCAATCAACCCGCTTTATACCCTCACGATTTGTGAGCGCGAAGAATATCATTTTTATTTCGGTAGCTGTCTAAATAATATAGTTATTATAAACATGGTAGTTAAATAAAGGCAAAACTGTTTTATTATTACAATTACAATTTATTTCTAACCATAACTCGAGCCTTCATTTAAATCAATTGTTACAAAGCAAAATCGTAGCGCAACCCAAAATAAACTATATTTCTCTAAGATTTTTGCTCAAAATCAAGAACTTTGGAGTTCGATCCAGCACTAAAATACAAATACCTAGGACCTCAATTATTGCCATCTTGGCTAGATCACATTTTGGCTAGGAATCAATAAAAAATTTAATTTATATGAAGTTTCACTAATTTTCAAGGATTAAGGCAGTTCGATTTTTAGTTAACATATAATATTTATATATTTATTTAAACAAAAAAGATATTCTTCAGAATGATATTTAAAATGTCTATGTAATATCTATAACTCTATTCAGCGAATTTTGAGAAAAAAGAATGTATACTTCACAAAGAATACTTGAAATCTCTACGAAACTTCGCTTCAATACGACAAACTTAAGATCGAAATAGAATTCAAATTATAAAGAACTTCTGGAGTATCGATCAAATAGTCGAATCTCTACAGAATTCAAGCTGAATGTCAATGAAATGATGCGATAGCAAGCAACTCTATAAGCTATAGGGGTAGGGTATCTACACGTACTGCTACTCCAGATGTCGTATTAAAAAAAAGTCAAGTGGCCTTGGCGGCTTGCTCAAGCCAAGGTCTAGAGGCCTCAGCCCACGCAATCGTTACCGCTAACAACGTCACGGATAGGGTTGCCCTTTTTTATAAATACCTATATATATATATATATATATATATACATATACATATATACATACCTATCTATATGTATATATATTTTTTTTGGGCCTTGTAAAAACTTGCAGCAGGGTCGCAAAAAGGTCGCGACACTAATTGAGTTATTTCTGGCCGACTGTCAAATTAGGTTGGCCTGCCGCCCACACACACCTTGAGCATCTACTTGTGTGTGTGTGTGAGTATATATATATGTGTGTATCTGTATCTATATAGATGTGTATCATTGGTATCTGTGTGCAAATAGAAATTTGATTTACGCTCCAGCAGCGAGTTTTAATTTTTGATGTCATTTATTAAACGGGTTTTTTTTTCTTCCCTCTGTTGACCTTTTCGCGGCATTAATCATACGCGGCGTTGCCAAGAGTCGGAAATGAGATGAGAGCGAAACGAAGCGTAACAAGAATCTCAAGACAACGAAACGCATTGAAATGGAAATGGAAAATGGAAATGGAAAATGGCAACGGCAATGGCAATGGAAATGCTGCAAAATGTTGCCTGTTTATTTGCCGAGCATTTAAATGCGAGACAGACAACATTATGACAAAGGGGGGCCGGAGGGAATGACAAAAAAAAAAAAAGGGAAAATTGCGCAAATCCCTTGAAGAAACGTTTGGAAATATTTCAAAGAGCGCACACAGCAGGACACAGCAGGACGTCCCGCCAAGCGACGAGAATGTTGCAAAATTATGCTTAAATCAAAAATCACGACGAAAACCGGCAAAGTAAAAAAAAGGGAGCCCGAGCTGCGGTTGCGACGGGACAACCCTTATGGGGCTGCCCCCCCCAGCCCAAACAAGCTGGAGCTGCTCTGTGAGGTAAATGCTGCGCATATTTTATGCTCTGCATTAAGTCTTAAGTATTGCTTATTAAGGAGACGAGTCCTGTTTTTTGTGCATGTATCTGTGTCTATATGTATGTATATGCAGGCACGCCTCCTGGCTGGCCAAAAAAACTATTTGGTAGCAGGACTCCTCTTGCAAGCAGTCAGCAAATAATGCGTTAGTTATTAAGTTAGCCCAGGCTCTCATTTGTTTACAGATTTGCCGCACACACACACACACGCACACACTCGCATATATGTATTTAAAGAGCGCCTGCTGCTGCTAGCAACCCCTGGAAACCAAAAAAAAAAATAACTCTCTAAGTAGCCCGACTGCATTTGCAAGTGCCACTGGGGGTTGCTGCCTGGTCGCATGTGTGCCAGCAAAATGTGTTTGATTTTGGGCGAAAAGGAAGGGGGGGGGGGGGGGCGGCGGTTGGGCTGGGGGCACGGCTCAGGCTGTCTACGCGTAATGTTAAGCAAACAGTCGCGACTTTAAAAAATTTTGGCGCTTCAACCTCGTCTGCAACAGCGACTGCAACACAATGGCCAGCCAAGCGGCGCGGCCAGACAAACAGCCAGAGCCGGAGCCGGAGCCGGAGCTGGAGCTGGAGCTGGAGCAGACGCAGCAGCTGTGGAGCAGCTGAAGCGACTCAAGCTTTGGAGCAGTGTATCTCCTTAGCAGACATTTCAGGGTCAGAAAGCAGCAGCAGACAGAGACGCAGACGTCGTCGTTCTTGTTCTTGTTGTTGTTGTTGCTGTTGTTGTTGCCGGCAGACAACGAAAGTAAGTTGACTTCCGTTGCCGGCGGCTGAAAATGAAAATCGCCATTGATGCCATGTTGCAGCTGGCAACCCCCCACTCCATCCCAAGACTCTCTCCTGGCTGGCGCACCTTTTGTTAAATATTTGGCTGTCTGTTGGCGCTGCCAGCTAATATTTAGTTTTCCAATATTGGCAACAATTTCGACAAAACCGAAATTCAATGCCAATGTACAAATTCCCAGCCATACGACAAATAATAATATCTCAACACTCTAGCCAGACTAGCTGCAATGCATTTACCTGTGCAGCGAGGGGAGGGTGGGGTGTGTGGACATGCTCTAATAAATTGCGCAACAAATTTGCTGCACACACACACACACACACGCGCACGCAACCAATATGGCGACCGCACAAAAGTATGCAATGAAATATTTGCAATGCGACAAATGTCGAAAAAGCGAGCGCAAACGAAAAAGACAATGGAAATTGATAGGGTAGAGTGCAGAGATGGAGGACGATGACGATGGAAGAGCAGCTGCTGCGTCTGATTAAACTCAATCTGGCAAATAATTAATTTATATAAGTCAACGTAATTAAACTTTGGTCTCCACTTTCATCATGTCTGGGAGCATAAAATGATACAAGTTTATCTAATTAAACATTGGTTTCGATTTTCGGCATCTCTCGGAGTACGAGAAATGATTATCTGAATTCAATTCAGATGAGCAGATCATAAAATTATATAAATCAATGTGATTGAATTGTGGTTTAATGTTTCAGCAGGTCTTGGGGTAAAATATATGATATTCCGAATTTCATTTTCGATAGCAAATCACAAAATTATATAAGTGAAGATTTGGTTTCGATTTGCAGCAAGTCTTCAAGTAAAAGAAATGATGTTCCGAAATCCATTTTCGACAGCAAATAATTAACTTATATAACTCAAGCTAATTAAACTTTGGTATCGATTTGCAGCAGGTCTTCGAGTAAAAGCTATTCCGAATTGCATTTTTGACGGCAAATCATTAAAGTATATGAGTTCATATAAT